CCCTGCCAACACAGGCCAGCCGTGGGCGTTAGCAATTCTGACATTTCTCTGGGCTCTTGTCAGTGAGGGGACACCTCTACTTGGGTATTTATTGGCTCTCTGTATGGCTTTCCTCCGAATCTTTTTCACATACACGCTTCTCAGCTGATCCTCTGGACAGGAAGAACATCCACATTCTACAAATGAGAAAACTGAGGCCCTGAGAGGTGAAACGGATTTGCAAGGTCACCCACGGTGGCCCTTCTATCACATCATGGGATTTAGGTAAGGACTTGAGAATTTTATTTTTAGGAGGACAATTGGGCTGACATGAAACCTCAGTGACAGTTTCCCAGTGACACAGAATGATAGAAATGGGTCATCTGACATCTGTGAGCTTCATGGAGTACTGGCACTGATTCTCAAAACCCTGGTGGTAGATACTACTATTCTCCCATTTCACAAATGAGGAAACTGAGGCTTACAGAAGTGGACCACTTGCTCTAGGTCACACAGCACAGGAACCGATTCCTGACCTGAGGGGTCACTTCTAAGTCCTAATGACAAGCTGGAATGGTTGCTGCTGCTGCAAAACAGTGCCAGCCTCTACTTGGATGGGGAAACTGAGGTTTGAGCAGGCATGGTAACTGAGAGAGGGCTTTGAAAACCTCATTGTGAAGCCTGGGACTGGCTCTTTCTCTTTTTGGGCCTCAGTTTCCCCATCTGTACAACAGGGTAGAACAGCTGGCAGAGCTGTAGTTGTGTGGGAGTTTGGCTTCAGGCCCAGCGCTAATCATCCCCCAATCTTCCAATCACATGGAATTCCACCATGTATCCCTCTTCTGGCCAGATGCTTGGCCTTGGCCCCCTCCTTTGTCAAAGGGGGGTCAATGTGAGGGTGCAGTTCTATCTTCAAGATGGTGGTGGAGGGGTGTGTAGGGTGCACTGTAACGGGGCTTGGGGATGCTCATGCACAAGGTCTGCTTCACAGGTGGGGAAATTGAAGCCCAGGAGGGTGGAATATGGAAGGATCAATAACAAGACCAGTCCCTCTAAACTCTCCAGGGGCAGTCCTGGGTTACCGTATTTAATCCTGCCAGCCCTCTGCCCCATTTCACGGGAGGAAATCGAGGCTTAGAGTTTCAACATCCCATGGCCACAGGGAGGGCATCTGCAGCCCTCACGATCACCCTGTGCGTTGGCATCAGCAGTCATTAAATAGAGGAGGAAATCGGGGCCTGGAGGGGCAGGAACTCCTGCCCAAGCCCACAGCTTCCTCTGGGAACTTCATTGCTCAGGATAGTCAAGGTTTGGGGTGGTCAGGACGGAATGATAGGGTCAGAGAGAGGAGATGTGGGGAAAGGAGAGAGGGATGGCAGCAGGGCTGTGTCCCAGTAGGGCTCAGGGATGTGGTCTGGAAGGGTCAGGGCTGTGGTTTGTGGTAGAGTGCTTCTCAGGGTCCATGGTACCCACCATGTCCTGGGGAGGCAGGCACTGCTAGGAAAACAGGAGTGTTGACAGGATCTCCCCTCACCCCCCCAAGTCAGATTGCACAGGCATGCTGTGGAGGGAGAGCCCCTTGGTCCCAGAAATGACATTTATAGGGCTTTATTCACAAAGAAGAGTGTTGTAGGGTGTAGGGACCAATCCTTGAGAACGTTTGTGAGATAAAGGACAGTCTGTTGCAAAACATGCTTAAGTTTTTTAGGGAAAATTTTTAAGTAAAAAATAATCAACAGAGTAGCATGTGCAATGAAGTGTAATTTGCATCTTTAAGGTCATATCTGAAATGTGCCTGAACATATGATAATCTACATGTAGGGGCACCCAAGACCTGGGTGCTGCAGGTCAGGAAAACTAAGTGTTCCTCAGAAAACATGTCTGTACTTTTGGATTCTGGCCAGTGTTACTTATTCACAAATAGCACTTGAACATTTACTCACGTGGAAAGACTGCTGAGACCTCCAGTCATGTGAGGAAGCAAGTCTCCAGGCAGCATGCACAGTGTGTGTCTTATTTAAAAAATTTAATTTTCTATTTTATTTTATTGATATGTGAGAGTGGGAAGGAGAAACCTCTGTGCTTCGTTCTGCATATATCTGGGTATTTCTTTTCTTTTTAAAAAATTTGATTTTTAGAGAGTGGGAGGGAGGGAGAAGCATAGACCTATTGTTCCACCCATCCATGCACTCACTGGTTGACTCAATGTGCCCTAATCAGGCATCGAACTCCCAACTGTGGTCCATCAAGGCGATGTTCCAACTGAGTGAGCTACCCAGTCAGGGCTGGATTTTTTTAGCTTTTACAAAGAAAATGTACTCGAGTTGCTTGGCCATGCGTGTTTGCACATATTATGCATACATGTATTTTACACATGTGGGTATATGTGCACACATACATGCAAAACAGAGGCCTGCTTTTTTTTTCTTTCTTTATCAATTTTAAAGTGAGAGGGAGAGAGAAAGAGAAACATCTATTTGTTGTTCTACCTATCCATGCATTCATCGGTTGATTATTTTTATTTTTTAATTTACAAAAATGTTTATTTCTAATTACATATGTCATTTTTTAAATCCTCAATGAGGATATTTTTTCCTTGCTTTTCAGGGAGAGTGGGGGGGAGAGAGAGAAACATCAATGTGAGAGAGACATGTCGATTGGTTGCCTCCCTCACATGCCTAGGCCAGGGCCGGGGATTGAGCCTGAAACAGAGATACATGCCCTTGACCTGAATTGAACCAGAGACCCTTCAGTCCATGGGTTGACGCTAACCACTGAACCAAACTGGCTAGGGCTGTAAATTTTTTTTTAATATATTTTTGTGGATTTCAGAGAGAGGAAGGGAGAGGGAGAGATAGAAACATCAATGATGAGAGAGTCATTGATTGGCTGCCTCCTGCATGCCCCCTGCTGGGAATCGAGCCCGAAAACTGGGCATGTGCCCTGACGGAGAATAGAACCTCTATCTCCTGGGTCACAGGTTGATGCTCAACTGCTGAGCCACGCTGGCTGGGTTGTAATTTTTTTTAAATTTAATTTTATTGTTGACAGTATTACAGATGTCTCATTGGTTGATTCTTGTATGTGCCCTGACCGGGGATCAAACCTGCAACCTTGGTGTATTAGGATGCTCTAACCAACTGAGTTACCTGGCCAGGGCAACAAAGGCCTGCTTTAATTATTTAAAATATATCTTTACTGATTTCAGAGAGAGGAAAGGAGAGGGAGAGAGAGAGTTGAAACATCAATGATGAGTCGTCATTGATTGGCTGCCTCCTGCACCCCCAACTGGGGATGGTGCCCGCAACCTGGGCACGTGCCCCAACTGGGAATTGAACCATGATCTCCTGGATTCTAGGTTGATGCTCAACCACTGAGCCATGCCTGGCCGAGTAAGGCCTGCTTTAAAACTAAAGATTGGAGCTTGCTGCCGCTAAGATTGAGCTGGCCGTGAGACTTGCCACCTTTAAGAACACCTAGGCCAATGAGCCAGTGCTGGTCGCGTTCTTCACCACTGGAGGTCTTAATATAATTCTGCGCCCCTTCAGCACACAGCCATGATCAACCAGGTTACACCCTACAACTACCCAGTGTCAGTCCGAGATGATGGAAACATGCTTGACATACCCAGCCGTCCCCAGGACTCTTAGGGCCCAAATTAGAGTAACTGAAGAAACTGTGAGCACCTCCACTGACAGGTCTCCTCCCCTGTGGCCCCCAATAAAAGTGTGAAAACAAAAAAACCACACACACCCAAAACAAAATAGAAGACTAGAGCCTTTCCAGCAGCACCCTCTGCTTCTCAGAGAGCCCTGGGGCATCCAAAAGGCTTCCAGGAGAGGAGGCTGGGGAGAAGGGCACAAGGAGTGGCATATTTAGGTCCCATTCAGCCCTAAATTACAAGGTAGCAGAGGAAATTTTACCTTCTGAACTAGAAGAAATCCTTTTTCCAGATGGCAGGGGAAACTGAGGCCTGAGGTGGAATGACCAGCCTGAGGTCAAAGCCTGGGCCATGTCTCAGGCTGAAGGCTCCATACCACATGTCCTCCTCTAAGTGATCTTCACCAGTCTGCTGGTGACAAGGGAGCTGGGGGGCTACTGGAGAGCAATTCCAACTGCTGCTCACCCCCCACCTCCAATCTGCCCAAAGTGGGTGGGTAATTGGAGGTTGTGGCTGACTTTCCAGGGTGTGGCACTAAGGGCCACATCACACATCCACCTCTCAGGTTCTGGTGAAGATGAAGGCAAATGTGTGGGAGGTTTTGGGCTGACATTAGCTCCCATTATGGTCAAATGGGCCCCTACCATTCCTGAGTGTAGCACACAGTGGGGAGAAAGAAGGCTCAGGGGTCCCACATCAGCTTCCTAAGGGGCCTTGTCTCATCTGTCCCCCTCTAATCTGCCAACAGATCCCTGCCCCAACCCTTCCCAGTCTCCCTGGTGCTCTGGGTTAGTCAACAGCCTGGCTCCTGCCTGTCATGCCATGTTCAAGTGGAGGCCCTACAGGCCCATATGTGCTGGGCTCACCTAACTGCTGTGATCTTTAGCTTCTCTCCCAACCTAAAGGGCCAGGGGTAGCTGGTAGAAGAATTCAGACACAGACTGACAGTACATAGGAACAGCAAGGAATTTTGGAGACACCCACAGTTTGGCTTCTTGGTCAAAAGGAGGCCTAGCTGTGCCTTGGTCTATCTCTGGCAGCTGGAACCCCAACCCTGGGAGCAGCAAAGCCTTGCGGGGGGCAGGCAGTCATGGGTAGCTAAGGCAGGGCTCCCAAGTCACGGCACCCTCTCAAAGGTGGGTTTCTGTTCCCAGCACCCCCATCCCCCCCATACGGGGTCCTAATCACTACCTGCTATTGGCACCTTCTGGGCTTTCCCGGTTATTGACCAGGCTCCCACCCTGGCAGGCAGAGGACATGCCCCGAGGCAGGGTGTTTATGATCTGGTTCCATGTAGGCACCATATCTACCATGCATCCCCAACTGGCCTGATTTTATAAATACATCAATGGAGACCATGGAAGGTTGAGTTCCTCTACATTTATTGCAACTGCTAAATGATTAACATTCACAACTTCTTCGATTAAAAAACAAAACAAAAACAAAAACAAAACTTCCATTTTATAACATCACAAACGTCTTCTAGGTTTTACCAAGGACCAAAAACACTAAAATTCTCTATTTGATTTCCAGTGATGGAAACAAGCCAGAGACAGTAAGCACCCAAAGTGGTGAGATAGCACTTTCCGGATGCCTGTTGTCCTCACGGGAGAGACCCTGGAACTAGAATGACAGAAAAGACGCTGTGACTTTGACAAGGCCACATACCCGCACACACACTCACAAGTTCCCTGCAGAGCGGCCTCTGCTGAGAGAGCAAGGTGGCCCAGAGGGCCAGCAGCTGGCACAGGACATACCACCATGCTCCACCCCTGTACCTCCAACGCCTCAACGTTGACTCCACAGGAGAAATGTCACTTAAGTGCTCAAAAGACTTTGCAGGCTCAAGACGTAGATGTTTCCTTTAATATTTGCCAAAGGCTCACAAACAATGTCAGCTCAAACTGGGATGTCCCCAGGAGGAGGAGTGGCATGAGGCTGTGGGGACAGGATTCTCATCCTGGGAATTCCTAAAGCATTTTACTTGTGAATAAAAGTAGAGAAAGCCAAGAATGAACACACTAGGACAGAGCGAATGTGACATTCAGAACTATGCTCAAAGAGAAAGAGTGAGAAAATGTGCTGGGGGATGCACGTCTCACTCAGGCCAACAGGTACTTTGTGACCAACAGAAACCATGGGTGACCAAGGCCCTGTTCTCAGAGTTCCATCTTGTGGCCCAACCCACAGCCAACATGGAAGGCTGATGGAAGGACTAGGAAAGAGAGTAGAAGATGAACTTCCACAGGTGTGGTTCTCCCAAACTACACCACTCTTGCAGGCTGGTTCACCTCTGCTGAAGGACCACCAGCATTGCCACAGCTATGAAGATCTGCTGGTGCCAAAGCAATAGAAGTGATCAGAAGTAGGCAGATATCTGGGGGCTATACCTGACACGAAGAGAGATGGACCCAGGTAGGTAAGAAGACATGGTGAATGGCAGGACAAACAGATAAGAGTACCAAAGAAGCAGGACTGTAGCTGGGGGGTCTATGCTCTGAGAAAGAAAGGATTTCTTGACAGCCAGTACAAGCAGCTGACAAGGTAACTTACTGCTGTGTTCCTCAAGCCTGTACTATCAGTACGACCAAGTTGTCTAGAATTTAGCATATATTTAAAACTTCAACACTGCTGTTTTAGAAAGAAGGGTTGAGATTACCACAGCCTGAGAATTTAACATGTAGTTGCAAAGCACTGGGAGAAGCTGGAAGAGGTGGCAATCATACGCCTTGAAATAGCAAACAGCTATGGAGCCCACCCCAAGAGGATCCTTCCTGTTCTGTAAAAGGGCCCTAACAAAACAATTATTTCCACTGCCACACATACAAAAAAATGAACAGTCTTGAAGAGTTTACCCCCGCCTCTTTGTAGGAAACTTCCTATGTGGTTTAAAAAGAAAAAACTGTAGCTTTCTTTGTGAATTCTAAAGAGAATTATAAAGTTGGGGAAAGTTTCATCAGTGTAGTGACTACTCTCCACTGAATACAGCTGTGTTATACTGTTGCTAAATTTTGTTAAATCTCTTGGGATGCATTTAAGAGATGAGACTCCATAAATAACACATTCATGGAATCAAGTATCTCCACTTGTTCAGAACTTCAGTGCTCCCACCGACAGGCTGTGGTGCCAGAGTACAGATTACATCCCGTTTAAATTCTGGAAACAATAAGAAGACACAATTGGTAATCATTTCAGCATCAAGTTTGCTAACAGAACACTTCTGGAGAGCAACGTGCCAGGGCAGCACCACCTTCTGATAGAACCAGGAAAGACTGGGAGGGAACTTGCTGCCCAAAGCACTTGGAAGAGGAGGAAAGGCAAAAGCAGGTTAGAAATGGGGCATTCTTTTTTCTTTAAGACAAAGAAAAGCCAGCAGAACCTCTGCACCAGAAACTGCAGAGACATTTGTTTTTCATGTACACACCGAACTGACTTGGGCTCTGGCTCCAGGGTGGATCCGGGGCAGAAGTGGCGTTTTTAGAGTAATTGTTGCTTCAAGGCTTATCTTTCTCACCAATGGTTTTCATCTATTCAAGGAGAGAACGATTTTGTTCAAAACTGAGCTGGAAATTATGGGTGGGAAGGGAAACTAAAAGGAGAGGAGAAAGATGAGGATATTCACAGGGCCAAGGTCCTTCAGAAGGAAAAGGATTTGAAGGCCCTCAGAGAGGGAAACTGTCCTCTGCAGCCAGCTTCCAGGTCACCCTTACACTTGTGGGATGCAAGGCCACCCCTATGGCAGCCTGGGAGCCCTGGGCTGAGGCCTCGCAGGCAGGCCCCGTGCAGTTGTGCTTGGCGAGTGTGGTACTCATTCCTTCAGCCAAACCTGGAAGGTTAGAGGGAGGACAACATCCACATCCAAAGACTCCTTTTGTTTCCCTCAAAGAATTTTTTGATTTTTTTTTTTTAGTAGTTTGGGGTGTGGGAAACTCCAACTTTTCGGGAGGAGCCGTCGCTGCGTATCAAAATGCCAGCTTAGACAGGATGCCCAACATGCCAGCTCGTGCACATACCTATTTGTTGGCCCTTTTGTGCCTGTACATCTGCATCATCCTCTGACGGAAGACGTCAAACGTGTCTTCCTTGTGCTCCTGCCCGTCGGCTCCCAACCCCTCCCCTTCGGAGGCCGTACCCCTAAGGAGCAAAATGGAGAATTAGCCACACCCACACCCAGTCCTGGCGACCAAGAGACTGGAAATGGCTTGAGCAGTCAGAGTGGACGAGAGTATGTGGGATGCACCACAATGACAGCAAAGGAGAGGGAAAGTGCACTGTGACCCCCACAGTGCAGGTGCTCAGGAGCCCAGATTATAGCAGAAAGTCCCAACCCCTCCCACAGGTGCTAAACTCAGTTATAAGTGAAATAAATGTCTGCTGGGTGTTAATGGGCTTAGCCAATTCTGGGCCAGGTTCCACCCAGGCAGGGCTGCATATGGGTTCCCAGAAAAGGAAGGTGCTTCTTGGTACAACTACTCAGAATCACCACTCAGCTTTTATGACAATGTGGCCAACATGCCAGGGGCCAAGAATCCATTTAAATAGTCTGCACAAGCACAGCAAAGAGCCAGGTGAACACTTGCCTATGGAAATGTCTGCTTCTCATCTCATCTGAAGACTCCCTTTGCTAAAAACAAAAAACAAAACAAAACAATCCCCACATACACCAAAAAACTTCTAACTTTAAACTATGTTCACCATGAGGGCAACCAAGAATTAGGCTGTAGGTGAAAGAACTTAGGACCACAATTCCAAAGAAAGCCTCTTCTTCTAGGCACAGACACAACACTGTACCCCCCTCCCCAGCCCGAAGTGCCTGCTACATACATGCCAACGGGCTCCCTGATGCCCTTCCCACAGGAGCCCAGGCCGTGGCCTTCTTTCCAGCCCATCTTCTGCAGCATCTGGAACCCCAGGTTCTTATCAGTCAGCTTTTGCTGGGCAAAGTCAAAGTCCTTGGGTTTCTGAGGAGAGAGCAGAGTGCAGCATGTGGGTTGCAGCAAAGTGCCCAAAGTGAGGGTCTCCAGCATGGTCCAGCACTGACACCCACTGATACCCCAGACACTCATGTTCAAGTCATGGTCATCTCCCTAGTTCTCACCCTAGAGAGGCACTGAGAGTCCATTAACAGGAAGGAAGTATACCCTGAGGTATGAAGCAGTGTGTGCGTGCGTGTTTAAGCGTGTGCATGAGTTATTAAATGAATCCGGAAGAGCTGGGAGGCAAGGGGGTGTTGGCAGGATGGTGGGTCAAGGTCCATCTACAGGGCATGTAAGGAGGGATGCAAAGGTAGGAGGACCTTGCTGTTGGCTGGGGTAGGAAGAAGGGACAAACAGGAGTGCAGGAGAGATGTGCACAGGCTGAAGACAAGGGGAAAGCCAGGGGAACGATGGGCAGGAGCTGCTAGCCCTGAGGGTGCCTCCTACCATCAGGAAGTGACCTAAGAACAGAGGAAATGGAGCCTGCTACTAAGATGACAAGAGGTGCCTATCATGCCCTCCCAGGCCCAGAAAAGAACAGCTAAGGTGAATGGATGGTGGGGAAGGCAGGGCAAAGGCTGGCTGAGCGTCCCCAAATGGCAGGCCTTCCCCGATTTAAGAAAGCACTTGGTGCCCGGCCAGGTGTGGCTCAGCGGTTGAGCATCAACCTAGGATCCAGGAGATTGGGGTTCGATTCCTGGTCAGGGCACATGCCCGGGTTGCGGGCTCGATCCCCAGTTGGAGGCGTGCAGGAGGCACCTGATCAATGACTCTTTCATCACTGATGTTTCTATCTCTCTCTCCTTCTCCCTTCCTTTCTCTGAAATCAATAAAGATATATTAAAAAAAAAAAAAAAGCACTTGGTGGGAGCAATGGGAAGAACAGGGGTCAATTGGGCCTGGGAAGATCTCATAAGCATTAAATCTATGTCAGAGTCACCCTATTCAGTTTCCTTGGGCTAAGGTGTGCACATAGAGCTGCAGGCAAGACTTCTTCCCTGCCTGCAGTTGCCCCAAGGACAGACCATGTCTGCAGGACACACGATGCACACAGGGTTAACATGCATTTCACTTAATCCTCAAGGTATCTCCTACTTGCAGGGTAGGTGTGACTGCTCCTATAACAGATGTATAGATGGAGGAGGCTCAGGAGTTATACACCAAGATTAGGTGCCAGCCTGAGCCTAAACCCAGCTGCCCCCCTCACCAGGCTGCACCCTCACCCAGGCTACCAGATGGGCACCTGGGTGCTGGCTCAGCCTAAAACTGAGTGTACCAGCAGGACCACGAGCTCTGGGTGCAGAAAGGCACTTCCTCCTGCTGTAGTTGGGGTCAGAGTGATGCTTCATCTGGCTGCTGAGGCTTATGTGGTGTACTCGGAAATGGTCTGACACATTGGAGGCCACTGCATTGGCTTTTCCTTACTGCCAGCAGGGACATCAGCAGAGACTCCCAGCAACCCACTCACCTCTCTGACTTCTAGGTACCTGTGGTGCCTCCATGTGTCCTGGATGATTTCACCTGGCCATCTGGAATTCAACTCCATCTTCTGATAACCTGCTCCTCACAGGGGCTCCCCAGTTCAGCAAATGGCAGCTTCATCCTCCTAACTGCCCGGGCTAACCACCCTGGGGTGGCTTTCGCTGTTCCACATCCAATTCATCTGCGAGTTCCACCAGGTCGACCTTCACCCCTCCTGTCCTCCGCTCTACCCAGCCTCTACCCCACAGGCTGCTCTCAACACAGCAACCACAGTGGCCACACGTCTTCCACCCAAACCCCACCACAGGTCCCCAAGGGCCTCTCCCAGAGAAGGGCCATAGTGCTTCTGTCTACAGGCCTATGTGACCCGAGTCCCCACCACCTCTACTTCCTCACCTTGCCATCCTCATCACTCCGCTTGGGCCCAAAGAGCTCCCTGTTGATCCATGACTACCCTGGGACTTCTTCCAGGCTCTCCTGCTTAAATGGTACTCTGACTCCACCTTATTCCCTGTCAAACTCCTTCTCTGTATCCACAGTACTCCCATATGACCTAGTCATACACATTTCGGCCCTGCTCACTGCTGCCTCAGGGTGGACACATGGGGCCTGATGCATAGGAGGTGCGAACCATATAATTAATACACATGCTCTGTGTAATGGTTTTTTAAACCACATTACAGCTCGGCCGGAGTGGCTCAGTTTGTTGAGCATCGTCCTGTGCACTGAAAGGTTATCAGTTCAATTCCTGGCTGGGGCATGTATGGAAGGCAACCGATCAATATCCCTCTCTCACATCGATGTTTCTCTCTCTCTCTCCCCCTTCCTCTCTCTAAAGCATGCTCATGTCCTCAGGTGAGGATTAAGAAAAAAATAAAAAACAACAACACACTACAGTCTACTAAATCTGAATCGCTTGAGGATAGAGACAATACTTGTTCATCTCTCCATTCCATTGTACATATCAGGTCTCAATTATCTGTTAAATGGATTACCCTCTGTGCTTTGGACAAAGCTAAACAGTTTGTTTTTAAAAGCTGCTGGAGAGAAAAGGCACTTGTGCTTTGTATATTCATACTCAGTCTGAAGTATAAGTACAGCTTAATCACAAGCCATAGTGTCCTTTGAGACTATGACAAATTCCAACTAACTACATCACACAAGGACTCACAAAGAGTCACACTCACCTTCTTTTTGGACACAGGTCGACCCCGAGGCCTGTCATAGGCAATGCGAACTGGTTCGTGAACTGGAACACAAAAGAAATATATATACATACACTATATGCGTTTTCCCCATATTTCTGAAAGAAAATGAGAGTGCTACAATTTTGGCTAAAGGCCCTCTGCTGACAGAAGGCTGCTATGACCTGCATAAGGCCAGCTGCTTGGCCTGGCTCCTCTCAGGAACCGTGTGACTATGCAGCACAGAGGCTGAACACGTGGGCTCAACTGAGGGCCCCCTGCCAATAGGGAATCTCCTTAAACATAAGATGCCCATGTTTACAATGAAGGACCAAATGTATGGATCATGTTTCCTGACCACAGGACTACACTTTGCTTCACAAACAATCTGCAATGCTATGTATGCCGTCCAGCATCACTATTACTATCCTACTGATAAAGAATTAAAGTCCACATAGAACTTTCCAGCAAAAACAAAGCTCCAAATCATATTATTACTATTATTATTTGGTGATGAAGGGGAGATCAGCAGGACTTGTTTTGTCTCATCAACCACTCAATCCATGAACTGAGAGCTTCTGAAATAGAAAGGACTCCACTTTCCCCCATGAAGGACTTACTTAAGTATTCTGATACGCTACCACCATCTGTAGTAAGAGTTCAGTAGAACAGTTAGCAATCCATTGCAACACCAAAGTTTCCAAACACAAACTGTGGAACTGTTCTGTTAGTGGGAAACTATATTTAACACTGCTGGGTGTAAATGTGACAGTCTCAATGATGTAGAATAACACAGGTGACAAATGACAGGGCACTGTTCACCACTACCACCACCTTACATGCAGGTATCACAGCATCAGTTCCACACTTGAAGCATGGCCCAGGCTTGGCTTTGCAGACACTTGGATGGGTAGGGGTATGAGGATTAGCCTGGGCCGTGACCAGCGCATCAAAAGGCCACACATGATACAATTCCACTTACTGAGCCTAGAAAAGGCAAGGCCAGAAAACAGTAAGTGGTTGCTGGGGCCAGGTAAGAGAGGGGACTGTAGACACTTTCTGGGGACAGGCTCCAGCTTCACTGTATTGGTGGGTTCATGCCTGTACACATTTGCCAAAACTCCTTAAACTGTTCACTTGAAAGGGGTGCATTTTGTTGTTGGTAAATTGTACCTCAAGGACCTTAACCCTCCACACAGGAGAGCAAGAGATGGCCTCCACAGAGCACAAGACTCCTGCTAATGGCTGCACGAGACCAGCCTGTCCCATCTCCTCCCACCTCACTGTCACTAGGGAAGTGTCACTATACCCTAGGCCTTCCTTGGTTCAGAAGGCTGGGCACCCCCCAAGGCCATGGGCAGGAAATGGCTGAGATGACCCGGGCCAGTCCCCTCCATAGTCAAGGCTACCCTGCTGGAATCTGAGCAATAATGGAGACCCTGAGCAATATGTGGGATACTAGAAGCCACAGGCTACTTGGTAGCGTCTCTTCAGGGTGCTATCATTAGACCAACTGGAAAAATGAGTTTCACACAAACATTTGCAGTGGTATATAAAACCACTAGGACTGTGTTAGGTTAAAAAAACACAAGACCAAAGAACCCCCTATGTTGAGGAGGATTTGGGAGGTAATGTCCAGGTTGGCAGTTGGAATCAGAGGTGGGAAGGTGACAGGGGCCTGCTGATTATCTTGTGGCTGAGGGTCAGCAACTTCTTCAAAACAGGCAGGCAATGTCTCCACCTGTTTCCACAACCAAGTACCGCTAACTCCTCCTCAAGTGCTAAACGGAAGACTATGCAGGGCTCTGTGCCAATACCGACGCTCACCTTTGGGCTCTTGGATGAGACACAGCCTTTTGGGAGCTGGAATCATGCCGACCTTCAATGATTTGCTGCTGACCCTCTTCCGGGGAAAGCAGGCCTGTGACAGGGCAGGCGCGCCAGCTGGGCCATCCTCGGCCGCCTCACTTGGAAGGCCATCGGTGGGGGGGCTGCCCGCGGAGTCCTCGGACCTGGCAGCCCCTCCTGCAGCCCTGGAGGGCCCTCCAGGAGCAAGGGCCTCCTCGTCCTCGTCCTCCTCCTCGTCCTCGTCCTCCTCCTCCTCAGGCATCGCCTCTAGGCTCTCCAGCTCCGCCTCCTGCTGAGGAGGCTCATCTGCAAACACTCCTTCCCCTCCCATGGGCTCTAGAGCGCTCTCACTGGCGTGGAGGTTCAGCGGAGGTGACGTAAAACAAATCGACGGGCACAGTTCAAATACCTTCTTTCGATAGAATTTGAAAGCTGAGCTATTTTGGTCATGTAGAAACCTGGGATAAAGATGATACACACTGGTTACCCAGACAGTTCTCTGAACATTCTTATTTGCTCAAACTGTCCGAATGGACCCGATGAAGCTGGGAGTGGGGCAAAGGAGTGAATTACCTGACCTCTTTCTACCAGTTATGGCCGATGGTGCAGCTTTGCAATGAGATAGAAAGTCTGAGAAGCCAGAATGTGAGGCCTAATTGCTTTTCAGGGGAGAGAGGTGGAGGAACAAAGTATGCGGGGATGACCAGGGAATGTGCTGGAATGAGCTCTAACACAGCCTGGAGATCCAACCTGGCCTCACTCATCCCTTTCTAGTGATGTTACTGGCCCTCTGGACCTCTGAACTCTAGGGTCTCTCCCACATATCCAGGTACAAGATGGAGGAAGTGCGTCACCCACAGAACCTCCTGCCTCACGTCCTGCAGAGAACCTATGTAAACATGATGGCAATAAAGCCTCTCTGAAATCTGAGTCTGAGGACCACCTAGACCTATAGTCATAGCTGGGGGGGTGGGGAGGGGGTTTGGCTGGTGTGAAAAACCAAAACATGCCTGAAGATACAAAATACANGTGCTCTCTGTGACTCTAGGGTCTCTCCCACATATCCAGGTACAAGATGGAGGAAGTGCGTCACCCACAGAACCTCCTGCCTCACGTCCTGCAGAGAACCTATGTAAACATGATGGCAATAAAGCCTCTCTGAAATCTGAGTCTGAGGACCACCTAGACCTATAGTCATAGCTGGGGGGGTGGGGAGGGGGTTTGGCTGGTGTGAAAAACCAAAACATGCCTGAAGATACAAAATACACTTGGACTAAAGGAAAGACAGCTCTTGTTCCTGGACAAGACAACTCGACCTCATGAAAATGTCAGTTCTTCCCTAGTTAACGTATTAATGCCTAAAAGTATCTCAATAAAAGCACCATTTGTTTCTGGATCTGGACAAGATTATTCTAAAGTCCGTACAGAAAAATAAATACGCAAAAACATCTGGAAGAACTCTGAACAAGCTCCACCAGACATTACAAGGTGTGTGATGCCTCTACAGTTAAAATAGCGTGGTACTGAGATTAAGAAGTACAAGTTGGTAGTTGCAAATTAGTCACAGGGATGTAAAGCACAGCATCGGGACTACCGTCAATAATATTTTAATAACTATGTATGGTGCCAGTTGGGGGATCACTTTGTAAGTTACATAAATGTCTAACTACTATGCTATACACCTGGAACTAATAAAATAATATGCTACNTACCAGAATTATTGGGGGATCACTTTGTAAGTTACATAAATGTCTAACTACTATGCTATACACCTGGAACTAATAAAATAATATGCTACACACCTGAAACTAATAAAATAATATGAATAGATGAACAGACAGACCAAAAAAAGAGCCAGAAACACAACATCTGATGTGTTTCAAATCTCTCCAAAAAAGACAATCTTTTCAACAAATGGTGCTGGGACAACTGGAAAGCTTTTAAGAAAAATATTTAAATTGGATCCATGCCACACCCCCTGCTCCCAAGTAACTCCACACAGATCGGGGATCTAAATGTAAAAACCAAGATGTACAAGTTACGTAAGAAAATACATAAATGTCTATATAACCTGAGTGTGGGGAGATTCTTTCTTATTATGACTCAGTATGCAGGGGTAATAAAAGAAAAAAATGGAGAAATTTGAATACATTTCTGTACTGCAGAACCCATACACAAAGTGAAAGAAAAACATCAAAATAAGAAGGAAATATATACAACTACATCACAGATAAGAGCTCTTAAAAATCAAGAAAGAACCCAAAAAACCCAACAGAGGAAAGGACAAAAATGAAGAACTTCTACCCTCCAAAAGATATTGCTGGAATGAGAAGACAAGTCACGGACTGGGAGAAAATGTCTGCAAATCACACTTCTGATAAAGGACTTGTATCAAGAATACACAGTGAGCTCTCAAAATTCATTACCAAGTAAACAAACAACCCAATTTAAAAAAAAGGGCTGAAGACCTGAAGAGACGCTTCACTAAAGAAATACAGAAAGCACACAAGCACACTGGAAGATGCTCAGCACCATTAGTCCTCAGAAATGAGAACCACAGTGGGATACCCCCTACCCCTCCTGGCACTGGGACATTAAAAAGACGGACACTAGCAAGTGCTGGTGAGGAACGGAACTCTCACCCAGGCTGCTGAAAAGGCAAAATGATGGAGTCACTTGGAAAGGAAGTTTGGCAGTTTTCTCAAAAGTTAAATGTGGACCCACAATGGGAGCCAGCCCTTCCCTTCCTCGGTATTTATCTGAGAAATAAAAGCAGGTGTCCACAGAGGTCCTTATACATGTATGCTCACAGCAGCTTTATCTGTAATAACCCCCAAATGAAAACACTTCAAATACTGTCAACAGTAAATGGGCGAGTAACGTACAGTGGTCCTACTTCTCTCAGCTTACCTTTTATAATTTTTACAACCATGCAAATGCTGTACTTATTTTAAAAATTAAATAAAAAATGCCCTGGCTGGGTGGTTCAGATGGTTGGAGTGTCGTCCCATACACTAAAAGGATGCAGGTTCAATTCCAGGTCATGGTACATACCTAGGTTGCAGGTTCGAACCCTGGTCAGGATGTGTTCAGGAGGCAACCTACTGATGGTTCCCTCTCCATGTTTTCCTCTCTCTTGCTCTCTCAAAAAAATAAATAAAATAAATAAATAAATCAATCAATCAATAAAAAGCATGTCCCTGGGTGAGGATTAAAAAAAAATTTAAATAAAAAAAAGGAAAAAAAGGCCTTAAAACTGAATATCCACAGAAACAAGTGGACCTGACTTGTGTCAAATTGATGACACAGACACACATGCAAAATGAATCAACTCAAATAACTGCTGAGCACATCAGATATATAATTCTTTCAAGGAAAAAGAAACCCAAGGGTATCTTGGCCTTGCCCAGTACAGTGAGTTTCAAACTATTTTATGAGCATTGCGAGACAGAACACATTATCCCACCTGATGTTGCTGTAGGATCCAGGACTCTCAGTGTGGGTAAGGAGGGGACAGCACTCTCTGAGGAACATTGCTCAAAAAAGGCTGCACAGAGGGTAAGGAATAACCCCAAACCCTAGCGGTACCAAGTGCCCAGGATGATGCAGAGTTTTTTTGCAAACTTTAGTTTTCATGGAGGGAAAAGGAGGACTGACGAAAGTCCTGGCCTGTGTTGCTCATTGGTTAGAGCATCGGCTCATGCAACAAAGGATTGGGGGTATGATTCCTGGTCAAGGGCACATACCTGGGTTGCAGCTTCGATCCCTGGCCCTGGACAGGGTGCATACGGGAAGCAACCAATCGATGTGTGTCTCTCACATTGATGTTTCTCTCTTTCTCTCCCTTTCCTTTCCTTCTACTCTCTCTAAAAATCAATGAAAAAATATCCTCTGGTGAGGATTAACCAAAAAAAAAAAAAGGACTAATAAAACACTCCCAGCTTCCCTGTACTGAGCTGTCCCCCTTGCCTAGCCCTGCCAGGGCAAGATCTCACATGCCACAGGCAGCCCCACTTTGAGACCTGCAGGTGGCAGTTCCTGAGGTCATCAGGCCTGTAAAAGGCAGAACCAGGCAGAGCATTTGCGAAGCCATCAGTGCTCTAGGCAGCTGGTCTGGGTCTCCCAAGAAGCAGAGGGTACCCCAGTGCGGTGCCCAGTCAAGGTCCCAAACAGGCTAGAAGAGCATGCTCAGTCACCACTGGGTCTAAGACATGCACTAGAAAATGTGAAGTTTTTAACTGTATTCTTTATTAGACTAAGGCACAATTCTGCAGCATGCTGGGAGCAGGGCAATGGTCCAGAGCCCCAACAGACTGTAGGATACAAATGTACACAGCATGAAAACCCCCTGCTCCCTACACACTCCCCACCAGCTATGATGGGAGCCCAACAGAATTATGGCTCAGTAATGGGAACCCTGAAGGAGGAGAACCTGCATCCCGGAGGCAGAGCTACTTCCTGACTGTGTGGTATTGAGTCTAAGTAACAGGGAGGGTACTGGTGCTTCTCCCAGCCCAAGGGTGCCAGGCTGTCACTGCATGAAAGTGCTTGCTGCCCACACTTAGACCAGGGACCACCATCACTCCACGAGGAGCAAATTCTCATCAGCCCACAGCAGCCAGTGTGAGCAGGGGGCAGTGCCCTCCTCTCCTCCTCAGGCTTTTGGGTGAGGATGCACCCTCCCTCATTCACCACTGTTCGGCCTCTGCTCAGGTCACTATCTCCCCTCCCGTGGAGAACTCCTACTTGGCCTCTGAATCCATCTTAAATGTCCCTCTGAGCTTTTCCTCATCCCCTCCAATCCCAGAACAGACACTCCTCCCTCCCAGCCCTGAGCTCAACAGAAGTCAAGTCATAACTTATCCTGGCATGACCCCTGGGGCAGGAGAGTGTCTGCCAGGCCACCCTTTGGGCTCTCAGGACACTTGTGGGGTGAACACACTCAAACCAGAAGGGTGTGATAGGTACGTACCACAGGTCAGGGTTGTCGGTGCTGTTTTCTATGCTGAATTGTTCAATCTCTGGTCCCACCTGAGCAACAAATTTGGCCAGTTTCTCTGCAGTCTCCATAGTCTTCGAGTCAACTACAAAACAAAGCAACTGTCACATGTATGAGCTGCCACTTCCCATATGGACATCATGGGACTGTGAATACTAATTACAGAAAGTCCCTCATGTCCCCCTCCTACATATTTGCCTTTTGCCATGTGACTCTGTAGCTCTGTCCAATAGAGGTGGACTCTCCTCTCCCCTGAACTGGGACTAGCCCCAACATTCCTGCTAGCCAACAGATGTGGTAGAAGTGCTGAGCCTGGGGCTCAGAGGCCTCAAGCACCTTCACTGTCTCTCCCGAAGGCCTCACACCAACCTCAGGTGAACCCATCCCAGCTGGCTGCTGGGAGGTGACAGCCACATGGCCCAGTCACCCATATCACCTCAACCAGCCTTGGACAACCAGCCTCAGACAACCAGCTGCTGCCTACTAACACATGTGCAGGCCCAATCAGACATAGCTCCTGTGTGAAGCCACAGTTTGGAGCTGCTCGTTCTGCAGCAATAGCTGCTCATTCTGTAGCAGCAGCTGGATAGATTTTTCCCCCCTCTACATTCCCACCTAGTGCTGAGTGGGAAGCACTGGTCAGGGGCAGGCCTGTTGCAAAAGCAGAAGGTAATAGCTAGGAGACACAGAGAGGTTAAGTTGGTAACTTCAGAAGAAACTGCAGGTCAGCTAACCCTGAGGAGGGAACAAGGAGACCTGGGGAGAAGAGGCAGAACAAGAACAGGGCAGCCCTATGGAATGTAGAGCAGGGAAAAACAAAGAGAAATGGATCAAGGAGCTCAAAGCCCCAGGCACAGGCACACAGCATGACCTGGTGGTCAGCAGTAGGACCCTGCAGGGAGGTACAGTCACTGGGCAGCAACCCGAGTTAGCTCCTCAGGACAGGAAGAAGAGTGCAACAGAACTCTCAGGCTGCCCCCCTCGAGGAAGCAAGAGGAGAGAAAGCACCATCTTGTGCACCAATCCTCACCAGGTCCCCATTACTACTGCCCACTGCCCACACCACTGAGGCCAGTCCAACTCTGCAGAGACCCCTGGAGATTGGATATTCAGGGCTGGGGCCCAGAGGAGGGAGACAGGAGCGAGCACCCACCATCAGCAGACAGGCAGGGAGAGGAACTCTGAGGGGCTTCGGATATGTCCACTCCTGCTGGCTTGGAGGATGGGCCTGCAGCTTCTAAGCTGAGGTCCTGAGATGGCCCGGCAGGATCTGGTGGGCAGTCCTTGGTGGCATCATTTCCATCTGGCTGGGTTGGCTTTCCCTGCAAGGAGCCTGGAGCTTGCCGGGTGTGGTGTTTCAGCCTGGTGCCCGAGGAGAGGAGGGTCTGGGTCCCAGTGGTTGCTCTCCTCACCTTCCAACCCTGGAGCCCTGGAGCTCGGAGCAGCCCCCGTCGCCGCCCTGGGAGGAGCCTCTTCTTGAGGCTCTGGACCGCCCGCGCATACAGCATGGCCCGGACTGCACACTCTGCAGCCATTGGCTTCTGACCCACTCCTGGTGTGGTCTGGCTTATCCGCTGTGCTTCTGCCAGTTTTAGCTTGTAATATTTATATTCCAGACTACTGTCATCAGACAAAAACCTATATAACAAAACAGGTACAGTGGGACATTGCTAAAACACCAGCATGACCAAATCATTGCTGCAAATACACTTCCGCAAATCCTTTCTACATGATGGCTTCTCTACTGTCCGAGGTTCCACTGAGGGCCCAGAGCGGGTCCCAGGTCATGTTTTGCCCAGAGTGACTGCAGGGCAACCAGGAGCTTTGAGCACTGGTAGAATCCTCCTCCATTTGCAACATCAGCAGCCATGAAGGACTTCATAGCTCCTGGAGGCTTAGCTATATAAACCAGTTACCTGGAGCCATGGAAGCATTTTGCTACCAGCACACGAAGGCCATTGCTCCTGAATTTCATATTCAAAAGGTGACACTCTTCAAATGGTGGGTGCTCAGTGACCTTTCAACTATATTAGTTACTCTAATAAGTATTCTATGATGAAAACTTTAATTTTAAAAAGTTCTATTCATGTGAAGAGGCAATAAAGCAAAACGAGGACAGTTAACACATAGTAGCAATAAATCACAAACAGCTGCTATGAGATATCCCTCATCTTACATTCTTTGCAGGCACATCTTAGCTCATCCTTAAGCCAGCATAGCAGGGACGCAGACTTCTAAGACTGGACGAGAGAGGGTCACAGGGCAGGTCTGCAGCAGGGGTGGTGCTTGAACCCACGTCAACCTGATTCACTCTTATGCTCTTCCCACTGGTCAACACCACTGCTCAAAACAAACACCTCACCCTCTGCTCTGGATACCATCAGAGCAACATAAATGTTGCTGTGTGCTCTATGGGAGGGATTCGGAGGGCTGATATTTAAAGACCTACCAGTAAGCAGGGTCCTCCTTGAGAAGAGCTCTCTCTTTAGGAGACAGGCTGCCTCCAACGACACGTGTGACCAGCTGGTCGATGGTGTCCACCACTTTGTGATCTGCTCGCTGGGGGATGGCTGGAACATACAAAAGGGCTTTTCTCAGAAACACTGGGCCACATGGTGCCTGGAAGACCAGGACAGAGTCAGGGGCTTAGGATGAAGCCTAAGCAGGCACCAGCAACCGAAATCCTCATTCATGAGAGAACGGCATTGATAAGAGGAAAGTAGAGTGTTAAAATATCCTCCCAAAAGCTCTAACAGCATAACCACCAGGACAAAAACAGTCACAGGCTTACAATGACAATACAGAGTAATGTGTGTATATATTCTACCGAAGGAAATGGTATGCAGCACTCCATACCACTTCTTGTGTGTCACTTAACTTAAATGTTCACAATATTAAGGAGAAAATATAAAGATATAGCATGTATTTAGGTATAAAACATGTAGAACATTTGTCTAGGTTGTGATTCCCAATAGGAAGGAGGGAAGAAAAGATACATAAATATGGAAACATAGAAAAAAAAGAAAATATACCAGAAAGTTAACAGATGTTATCTATAGGTGGTAGATTTATCAGGATTTCATTCTCTTTGTGCTGTATCTACAAAATACAAACATACATGTGTTCCATAATCAGAAAACATACATATATAAACTTACAAAGAAAAATTTCCCAATTAAAAAAGTCAATGGTCCCAAAGTAGGTGTTCACAGAAATATTTGCTGAATGCATGAAAACATTTTTTAAAGTGCGAATTTCCTCCAATATGGCTATAATTTAAAATGCCACCAGAAACGGAAGAAAATCTGTGTCCTCAAATAACAATAAAGATTGTTTAGTTTTCTGATATTTGCCAGTTTTAATAGCACAGAATGGTCTATTCGTTCCCTCATTCAATAAAAGCCACCCTTGAACTGGAGAGGTTTTCCAGTTTGTTCTGTGGAGTAACTGCACTGTCCTGTTCTTACCTATGTCTGAGTTGTAACTTTGAGTTTATTTAAACATCAGTAGGAGCTCTTTACACAGGATAAGTCAATCTTTCAATTGTCATGTTTTTGCAAGTATTTCCCTTTTGAAATAGTTTTCCTTTCTTTTTGTTATTGGGTTTCATTTTACAGAATTGCTAACTTTACATGATTTTACAGAAAAATAAGAGGCCTAAAATAGGCAGCTTTCAGAAACAAATGCAATTTGTGGGTCACTACAACCACCTCCAGAGAAAATGACCATAGCAAGGGCCAGAAAGTGGGTCCCAGCAATCCTTCTCTGACACTATATCCTTTTAAAAGAGGATTTTAAAATTAAAATTAAAATAGTAATAATCAACAAATTTAACCAAAGATGTCATCCCAGCGATTCCAACATACTATAATGAAAGCAGTGCTGGGGCAGTGCTGGGGCAGTGCTGGTGCTGTCCACCTGCTGTCCAGATAGTGGAGGCTTACAGATGCCAATTACAAGGGACTCTAGCTTTGCTCAGCCTCAGAAGCTTATAGTAAAAGGCAATGAGTCCAACATCAAGGGAAAGATGAGATCATTTATGTTGGGTCAATATCATGATGCAGTGAGAGCTGTAAAAACACAGGAAAGACTGGCCAGTTTTGCTCAGTGGTTAGAGCATCTGCCCAAGGGTTGAGAGTTCGATTTCCGGTCAAGGGCATGCACCTTGGTTGCAGGTTCGATCCTGGCCGGGAGACAACCAAGTCAATGTGTCTCTCTCACATCGATGTTTCTCCCCCTCTTCCCTCCCTTCCACTCTTCTCTGAAAATCAATGGAAAATATATCCTCTTGTGAGGCTTAAAAAAAAAGCAAACACAAAACCAAAAAAACACAGGAAGGGCCTTTGACAATCCTGTCAAAGAGTAGGTGGTAGTATTTTCAGTATAGCAGGCTACACAGGCAGGCCCACCTGTCTACTAGCACGAGGGAACAGTGGTGGGCAACTTTAGATTATAGGGACTTTTTCCCTCCAGTATCATTGTTACATTAACTTTCTCCTCCACTGCTCTGGGGGGTATGCAGAAGAAGGGGCCCACTTCAACCCTGAGCTGCTTCTGGAAGGCTTCCTCTCTGGGAGTAGCTGTGGCTGCCCACCTGTGGTGGGCCCTACCAGTACTAGTGCAGTTGGGGTTCCACAAGGGTGTAGAGGAGTGAAGAGATTCAGGAACAAATGAGACTTCCCCACTGGGTTGGGGCAATGGAAGTGGAAAACCATGTCAGGAGGAAAGAGGACATGACCACTACCTATGAGCATGAGCCCTGGGAGGTTTGGGCTGAGAGCAGTCATCCTGGGAGCTAAGGGAGAGGGACAAGGAACACCCAACAGCAAATCGTGTCTATTACCTCCTCATTGGCCTGCACCTCTCCATAAGCCAACTGTTAACTACAGGTTACCAGGTGTACCTAAGTGATGTCGACCTTTAGCCAGTCTAGAAAAGTGAGTGGGTGACTGTCACCTGGATCAACCTGGTTGATCCCTGTCAATTCCTCAAAATAGCTCAAGTACGGCCTCCCTTTGGCATTCCCAACTCCCCAGGCTGGGACCTCTTTATGTTCCCTTCATCCCAGCACAGGAGGGGCTGGTGATTTCTTTCCCTCAGGAGCATAGGGGTCTGCTTAGAGACAGTGCCAAGCATTTACTTTTCCTTCTAGGAATACCCAAGGGGGGGCAGCGGCAGTAGGAACAGGGTTTCTTAACTTTGGCTGCAGGACGGTAGAAATCCCCCAAACGCACAGGCAAAATTGTTCAAAATATATGTGCATTTTTGTGGCAAGGGCTGTGGCTTTTCATCAGATTCCCAAAGGAGTGTCTAAGGACTTCTGCGGTAAATGGAAGATTCCTCATACATGCTTATGGAATGAACGGCAGATAGGCATGTACACAGGCCAATGCGAGTTTTCTGCTAAAATTCTGATTTGTTTTCAGTTGGCTAAAGAATTTTTTGTAAAAATGTCAAAGAGAGTCAGAAATATTACAACGGTAAAAAAACACACGAAAAAGAAACAAGTCACAACAAGTAGAAACTTTTGCTGCTTTCCTTACCATCACTTAGACCACTCAGAGCCTTGGCCTGAATTTCAGGTTTGGTAGGAAGAGCCGTTTTCTCATCTTGAGTTGGCTCAGGTTCAGCTTTCTTGACTTGGAGTGGACACCCACTGCTGACCAGCCAGGCCTTCAGGTGATCTATATACTCTCTCCCAAACAGAGTGGAGTCCTCAAAGTTTGGAAATGCGGCAGGAGAGGGAGCTATATCTTGGAGGCCGACAGCTTCTAATATTTTCTCTTGCCGGAAAGAAGAAGCCAAGGAGAATGTCTGTCCCAAAAGGGCCAAAGACTTCCGGCAGAGAGAATTGGTGGTCTCCAGGGCAACAGCCAAGTCCAGGGGGTTACTTAGGGTCTTCATTTTGACACTCAGTTCATAGGCATTGCAGGCCATGAGCAGAGGTGTGACACTCTTTAGAAGCCGGTCTTGAAGCCTCATTATGTACTTGTCAAAGGGCTTTATGACTTCAAAAAAGCAATTTTTGGTCTTCACAGCACCTTTGTCTAAAAGCATGTTTAAAAACTCATTATCAACTCTGGGTGTTTTCAAAGCAGAGTGCTTTAAAAATTTGATAGTAAAAAAGCAAAAATCTCTGTGCTCTGGTTTTAAGGAGCATTTAAATGAGGCAAGCATTTTAGCACAGGTTTCAGTTTCAAGTTCAAAGAGAGTCTGGAAAAGCTGGGAAAATTTAACATCATCTTTTATGGTGTGGAATCCTGCCCATTTGATTATTTCTATCCCAAATCTTGAAAAAACATCGGACTTATCAATGAGGTCAAAACTCATCTTTCTTCTTGGGAGACGAATGTCCTTCAGATTGAGCCCCAGAGGGATTTTCTGAGGGGGGAATTGGATATCTTCCGTCCCTGGGTTTGTACCTAGGGTCACATCAGAACTTGGGGTGGTTTTCTGGATTTGGTTAGTGCCCTGAGTTTTGGGAGTAATACGATTTATAGTGGGTACTTTTTTTGTGCTCATACTCCTCAGCGTGACAAGTTTCCCGACCCCTCCTTTAGGTGTAAGCAGGCCCTGAGACTCCCCCTTTCCTAGGAGGGCACCCTCCTGATCAACAATGTTTAGACCTCGGCCTCTGCCCTGGACTTGGCCACTGCCCCTGAGCACAGAGTCTGCCTCCCCTGGACGGTCCACGTCGTAATCCCGACTCTCTTTTTCCAAACACTCTTTCTCAATCAGCCTAGAGGACCCAAAGTCCCCTAGTAGTGAAGAAGGCCCAAAATTATACTCCTGTGACCAGGATGATTCTTGAGAAACTGGGTGGCCAAAGTCTTGTTCCCAAGAGCCACGGAGTGTAAATTTCCAGTCCGGAGAACGGAAATGTCCCAATTTCCGGTGGCCAAAGACCTGCTCTCGGGAATCAGGGTGGGAAAATTCTAGATCCCGGCCACATTCTTTGCGAAAGTAATTGTCTTCATTTACAGAAGGGTTGTTTGATCTGAAGGAAGGTCCTGGAAACACATCACCTCTCAGGCCTTCTCTTCCAGCATCTCGAGAGTGAGCTACGGATCCGCCCAGAGTATATCTGCTGTCACTGTGAATGTCATCATACATATCTGCTCTGACTCTTGGCAGTGTCCTTATAAGATCTGAAATAATCCAAAAGGAAACACAAAGGTACTTTAGACAAGAGGGTGCAAATGGACGGTCCACAGGTTACCAGCCAGCTGGAGCACTTTATCTGCCTGAGTGCATTTTATTTTTTCTAATTTTTATTTATTTATTAATTAAATGTTTTTATTGATTTACGAGAGAGGAAGGGAGAGGGAGGAAGGAAGAGATAGAAACATCAATGATGAGAGTCGTTGATTGGCTGCCTCCTGCATGCCCCCCATTGGGGGACTGAGCCCACAACTCAGTCATGTGCCCTGACCAGGGATCAAACCCTCACCCCCTGATTCATGGGTTGATGCTCAACTGCTGAGCCATGCTGGCCAGGCTAGGCATCAGGGTTTTTAAAAGGTCCCCAGATGATTCTAATGTGCAGCAAATTTAGGGAGATGTGGATGGAAGGAAAGTATGAGGTTAAGTCTGGTCCTCAAAGGAATACTGGAATAGTCTGAGTAAAATGGAAAGCCACAGATGGGCTCAGAGCAGAGAGATAATCTCACTGGCTACTGTGAAGACGATACCAAAAGGGATGAAAACAAATGTGGATGTTCCAGCAAGAAGTCCATTGGGATAACCTAGGTATTGATGACTACTGATGGTGTGGTGAGGGAGGTAGCATTTGAGATAGAGTGGTAGCTTGTTTCTGCACAACAGGATTTTCTGAAACCTTGTAAACCAAGGCATCAGAAAAGTGCAGAGTAGAACAGAGACAAAGTCCAACTGATGAACCATGCAGCTCTGTGACAAAGAGATGGTTCTAGAATCATCTAGCATCCTGCTTGGTTCCCAGTTCACCCCTCCCGAAACTTTCTTAAGATAGCAATGTACATATTGGTGTTTGAGTCTCTAGATAGAGACCAAGATTTATGTCTCCATATACAGGGTGTCCCAAAAAAATGTATACACACTTTAACAGCTGATAGCTTATTTTTGAAAATGAAATGTATTTTAATAAACACTGCCTCTATAATTATTTAAAGTGTGCATATACATTTTTGGGATACCCTATATACATATACATGCATACATATGTACATGTAAGTATGTGTCTCTCTGTGTGTATATATATAAGTACATAAGTATTGAGGATTATATATTGCTAAAAGAATTGAAGGATGCACAGATCACCATAAATACGGTTACTTCTGAGGGTTAAGTAAGCAGCTAAGAAGACTTTTACATTTTACTCTTAACTATTTCTCAAGTCTTCCAATCTTTTATAACAGGTACGTTTCTGTGCACTACTCATATAATTTTTGAAAACTCAATCACCTGGTCTCCAGGTCGAAAACATGTAACAACAGTTATCCCTACTGCAAGCACTTAAGACTCATTCATTCAATGCTAAGAATCCCTCCTCCATGCCAAGGCTGGCTCAGGGGCTGTGTAGCAGCAAATAGCACAGGCCCAGCGATGAGTCCTGAAGGAAACCAGTCCACAGCAGAGGAGTGAGCCAACAATGTACTTCCCTGAGGCCGGGAAGGGCAACCAAATCAACCTCAAGATCTGCTGGGGCTTCCTGGGGGAAGGCACCTGTGAACTGAGTCTCAGTGCCTGAGGGAATCAACCAGGCAGAGCTGGGATGAGAAGGGATTCAAAGCACAGACAGGTGGCACAGTATTACTGAAACATAAAGCCCAAGGCAAAGAGTAAGGGTTGGGAGCCTAGTGCGTGGTAGTAAGGGAACTCCATGTCATCCTGTAATCTGTGTGAGCACCGTTTTTTATTCTGCTGGAATGGTGTTTCAAAATTCTCCAAAGGGAAATGTTTTCAGGCATGGTCTATTCTCAGTAGCTCCATAGCTTCTTGCCCCACCCTCCAGTCTTGACCACATCACTGTTACCTGATGCTCCTGCATGAAGCAGGAAGCCCCAAGAGTCCAAGCAGGGCCTTGGCCCAGCAAGGTTGGCATTAATAGATCTGTAGTCAGGGCAGATTTGAAAGGAATGAAGCCAGAAGCTGAGAGACCATTCGGGAGGAGATTACTGAAATAATCCAAGTCAGAACTGAAAAGAGCTCAAACCTGGGTAGTGGTGGTGGGGATACAGCCAAAAGATTGATTCAACAACCTTTCTGTAGGTAGGAGAGGGTTTTGGGGGAGAAGAAGCTCCAGGTAATGACAGTATCTTCTTCTACACAGTGATTTAATACGCAAACCCAGAGAATACTTCATCTCCCTTTAACAAATAAGGAATGTAGCATCAGAAGAGTTACATAGTTTGCCAAAGGGACTGAAATCCTCCTGCTCTGACACTAAATGCCCTACTACCCCCCCCCCCC